CACTTGTTTCCAACAGCGTCGTTGCGGCTTACAACCTGACGCACCCTCGACCTTTATTTTCTTTGGAGAAGGGCGAAAATGCCAGTTGCAGCGCACTTCCCTCTTGCAGCGGGTCTATCGTGACTCTCACGATTAGAGGAAGCTTGATCAAGGTCGGTGACCTTCGTTCTAAACTTAGAACCAGAGCGAGTGTAGCGGATCGCGATCCACTTATTCCAAGAGTAATTACATCCTTAACCCAAGGCTAGTTTACTTTTTCAGTAAACTGTATATATCGGTTTGATTTGCTACAAAGGCGCCCATATCTAAATCCATAGGTTCTCCTATCTATGTTTTATGAACCTAATTCATTGTATAACTACTGGCAGTCCAGCAGCGAACTGACTTCTTGTAAAAGTGCAGCCACATCATTGTGTGACCCACATCCTTCATACCAGGGCACGTGAAACCCCGTTACACCCGGAGCGAAACCAAGAGCCTCAATCTTATTCTATTTTGACTGATACTTCACATATAGTTTAAAAAATTCTCTAGTAAGATTGCCTTCGTTACTTGACGTGCGGCGAGCAAACCACAATAACCACGGATCTCTTCTTTTCGAAGGTTTATCGTCTGTAAATATCAATGATTTGGTATGTCCGAGTATTCACAATCACACAGATGCTTGCAATGTTAAATTCGAACAGTCGTACAATTTTTCATTTGCATAGTAGCAGAAAAATAAGGTGAACAGAATAGTACAGTTCTTGCGCCATTACACTCTCTTCTGGACCACACTGGGGATCATGCCCCTCGCCTTTTCAGACGTTGCAGAAAGTGAACATTCGGCGAGAACCACTGCGCTCTAAGTCTCATTCCACCTTTTGCACTTTACAGTACCTGCCCCTCACAGAATACTTGCACCGGAAAACTTGTTCCGTACGCCTTGATAAATGGCTCAACAAGCCTCCGATGAAACGCGCGATCCTAGCGACCGACGCTCTGAAGGCAATTCTCGTGTTAATGCCGAGGTGCTATTCATCGCTCCAAATTCTGACCTGACATGTAAGCTCCTACTTGACGACATACTGCCTATTTTATTATAGAGGAGGAGGTACTCGCTGCAATCTACCTGAGCTCTGCATGAGTACAGAACTCCGTGCTCTTATCCAACATGTATCGTTGCGTCAACCCACTTTAATGTCCGGGTCGTCAACAAAGATCTGAACCCAGATCATCGAGCCCAGCTTGCTCATATCCTGTCGTAATTATACTCTTAACCCGTCTGAAACTGCTCGTTTCGCTGGAGTGGAGTCCCCAAATACTTGTGAGTGCGGGTTTTCAACTCACACCGCGAGCACAGCCACCATTATCTTGTTTCTCTGCAAGCGTCGCTCACAGCACGAATCATCATCCCTCAGGAGCTCCGCCTACGATTAGAGTAACAGCAATTAGGAAACCCGTACTCTTCGAGAGGAAGAGAGAGTGACAATGAATACCGTACTTAATTTCCGCGCCGACTTAGAAATACGCGGCGTCCATCCTTTTAGGAATTTGTCAGTAGGCTTTGGTGCAGCGGTTTTTAGCCCAAGAAGCCACCAATGCTTGACTATACGAAGTACAAAACACGACGCCGACGTCACGGTGGCAACCCATCACTTGTATTTCCTGTGCGTTCAGCTTCGTTTACTCGACTCTATGAAGCAGCTGTTACAGATGCGGATTATGTGTTGCTCTCGCGACAATGCCCGCCCCCAGCCGCTAGAAAAGTGTACAAACCCAACCTCTGAGCGTTTGTTGCGGGGACTTTTTGTTTAAGCTTCCTCGTTGCAAAGTGCACGGAAATCCAGTTGCAATCTTAGTACGCGCTATACCTGCTCGGAGATCTCCCATAAAAATGATAGTTTTGCCGCCTATGGAAGAGGGTTTGACACCACTGCGCAATAAGAGTTTTCAGCTGTTAAGTACATAATCTTTTATATTTGTGCTTTCTGAACGGGAAGACAAGAACTTTGAGCGCCGTCGAAATGCCAGATTAGGCGGTGCGAGCAACCGCCGCAAATCACGAACCACGATGGCAGTGCCTACACCATACGCTTGCTCGCTTGTCACTACTGCATGCCGTCAAAACCCTAAGCACTTTCGTGCCTTCCCCGACAGTTATGATACAAAGAATTCGGAAATTCAATCGCAGCAACATGAACAATCGATAGCATACGTTTTTATGTTGAGATAGCTCGCTTAATGGACTCAATAAGCACCGGATATAGCTAACAATGGATAGAGTCAATATCATTTTCAGGTTACCAAAATGTAGATGACAGAGCCAGATTTTTTTGACATAGTTCTATTTTTCGACCGCTATGGTTATGCCATCTATAGACTTTTCTAAACTAGATTTCTTTCGACTGGATGCCTAAATGCTACTTAATTCTCTTAGATACTGACTACAATTGATTTTTCCTAGTCATCTCTAACCGGGATAGCAGACTTCTGATATTTCGTTGTATAATCTGATAATTGCTTACTTTACTGCAATCATTGCTCATTTTTGACGTATGCATAGAATATCACTGCTCATTTCTTATCCCATAATAGGTTTACAAAGGATAAGAAATTCAGATACAAAACGGAAGACATTTATAATATAGCTAGCTGATTGGATTTTAAGCGTTGTCATCAAAGCGGAATTATCAAAGAAATCAAGTATCTATTACACGTTTACTGTGTGGGCAAATGTGACCTTAGTGAGAAAATGGAACTTTGAATATACATCAATATTTTTCCAAGCGCACATGTAAGTAATGCACAAGCAGAAAATGTCACGAGCCATTTCCATCGCAACTAAATATAATGACTCTTCGCTCACTCCAATAAAATATGCTTCGCAAGAAGTGTACGTTTATAAACCTCGCCTGCTCAAACACCAGAATGTGCTGACACGTAAAGCCGCAAGCGAGAACTATGCTGACGTCATGGAGCTGGAACTCGCTCAGCATGCTTGGTTTGCATCCCTTTCGGATTATTAACTCGCACAGTGTGCATATCCATGTTTGAGAATACCTAAAAACGATTCTGGTACAAACTTGTTCCCTTTTTCGATTTTGCGCTGGCGAGCTTGAGTACATTAAATGTACTCAAGCTCACAGAAATTCTTATTTGTGAAAGCACATCCTTCGCACAAAGCTGTGGCACCCAAAACATGTGTGAGCGAAACGACTGCGCTGGTGACAACATGCGCACGATGATGTGGTCTAAAGTGAAAAGAAAGAAGAGACAGAAGATATGGTCTTATCCATACTCTTGATTGTTACGATAGCAGATCATCTTCGATGCGATTATCGCAAGCTGGGCTATCCTGATTTGCGCCATCATACTTTGCTGATGAAAGGTTTCTTACTTTCACTATAGCTCACAACATCCTATTGTAAACCTTATACTCTTGGCTATTTCTTTCCTGCTTATACCTTCTGTAAATCACAAAGTCCGTTTCTTTTATTAACACTGAAAAAAATGCTCAAACAAATTCTTGTTGGTTATGTCGTCGAGTTTTTTGTAATGTTTGTATGTAATCGCGCATTCTTGAGTGTAACGCCAGGAGAAGAAGCGGGATTTTATTGCAAGGTGCCACTATGATGTACGTGTCGCGCAGCTGTCTGGATACAAAGAATCGTATGACGCAAAAGTCGACAAAGTGCAAAACCAAAGAATACAATCTGACAATCAAGTAAACGACGCGGCTTTAGTTGGACAAGCTGTGCGTTGAGTCGTGTGTAGAAATTTTGGAGAAGAGAATTTATTGCCGTCGCTGTTGCCATTTTAATGCTTTTACAAATCTCACACTTTTTTCATTTGATTTCGTACCTATGCCATCATTTTTGCGATGGAAGATAAAAGCGAGCTACATGTGCGCTGGCTCGTGCTGTTCTTATCGTGCTTACTAATGATTGGCAACTACTACTGCTTTGACAATCCTGCGGCCCTCAAAATTCAGTTGCAACAGCACTTTAGTTATATTCATAAGGATCGCTACGAGTTCCTCTTTGTAAGTGGCAGCATGATTTTCCACTTTTCATGCCGAAACTATTAATTCATGATATCATCGCCTAATACCTTTATACACTTGTGCATGTGTACTTGATTAAGAACTTGTTGTATACGCTATATTCAGTCCCAAACATCTTGCTACCGTTTTTTGGCGGCGTGCTCGTCGATCGCTTTGGTGCTCGCGTGATGTTGTTCGCGTTTTCAACGGCAATTTTGGCGGGTCAATTTATTTTCGCGACGGGCTGCTCGCTTTCCAGCTTTAATTTAATGCTGGTGTGCCAATTATAGCATTTGAATTAAGTCAGGGAATGATTGCTGATGTTTTTACGTTGCAGTTCGGACGAGTAATCTTCGGTTTTGGTGGAGAAAGTTTGGGCGTAGCGCAGGGCACACTTGTCGCGTCTTGGTTTAAGAACAGTGAACTTGCACTGGCCTTGGGCATTAATCTTAGTGTTGCTCGACTTGGAAGTGTAATCAACAATGAACTGAGCCCCTTTGTTGCGCAAGCATTTAGCGTGTCGAAGGCGCTTTGGGTTGGTGTCATCATGTGTATGGCATCCGCATTCACCGTGCTGCTATTGATTCCAATTGATCAGCGAGCCGACCAGCTGACGAAAAAACGAAACCAGAAGAAAGAAGTATGTGAAGGTGATAGCATTCACTTTAGCGACGTTAGACACTTCCGCCTAGCCTTTTGGCTATTGGCCTTAAGCTGCTTGGTGGTTTACGGTTGTGTCATACCCTTTAATAATGTAGCAAGCAGTCTTTTGATGGAGAGAGACTTTTTTAAAGAGCCTCCCGAATTGTGCAGACGGTGTGGAGATGGGCTTTACATTCGGAAAATCGATTGTCAAGAAATTGTTGATGGCTGCCCAAGCGTTCCGCCGTACGGATGGCCGCTTCCGCTTTTGTCGACAAACTGCACGATTAAAGAGCCGCTGGATCAGTGGAATTGCTCTAGTTCGCCTCCACTCATCGAAGGTGACAAGATTAATTGCGACGAAGAAGCTTGGAAAGTTGGCCCGCTGACCAAAATGTACTGTGCGACGAAAACGAACGCGGCTCAAAAAGCCGCTACGCCTATGTCAATCCCATACATAATAAGCGCAGTCATCTCTCCGTTTCTCGGCTTTGCGGTCGACCGAATTGGTCTTCGCGCTATGCTGGCATTGGTGGCCTCTCTAGCGCTGACCTTAGTCCACATTTTGCTCGGACTAACTCAAGTTTCACTCTATGTGCCATTGTTGCTACAAGGAGTTGCCTACAGTGTGTTCGCTGCGGCACTGTGGCCATCTGTTCCATGTAAGTTGACATTGATTTGTGTGAGTCGACGCGTTAAAAGTAATTGAGACCCATATTGACGCAGTTGTCGTTGAAGCCAAACATGTTGGTACTGCTTACGGAGCGATTACTGCTATTCAGGTGCGTTTCATCATGAGTCGAGTAACTCGAGTGCCCAAACAAGAGGATCTGTACTGTTGCTCGTTTCTAGCAACAAGAAACGGCAGCAACGAAGCGTCTCTCATTTTGGAAAGCGACGCTATCTAATTTGTGGCGCTTATTTTGACCATTTGTCCTTTTAGTAACTCATGTGCACGTCTCTTCTTTTTCAAATTGTATAGAACATTGGGCTTGCGCTGTTCCCGCTGGCTGTGGCTTCTGAATTCAACCATAATAATCGATACATTCCAGGGGTGGAGCTGTTGTTTGCGTCATTTGGCTTGTTGGGCAGCATCGTAGGGGTTGCTTTAAACGTGGTGGACTTTCAGAACGGATCGATTTTGAATCGCAAAGGCGCCAAGAAAAGACGGGACTTTATGCCGGACGAGGATGGAATCGATAAGGAGGCGCTCCTGGCTGCCGAGCGCTGACGTTGCAATTTTACGACATAAAAAATTGTAGCCATCCTACCTCAATCTTCAACTAAAGCTATAAACAGGATATAACTGTGTGTCAGCTTTGGATTGACATGTGTGTCTCTGCTCAGATCATGAAACTGTAAACGGCTGTTGTTGTGAGCAAGCCTCACCGACTTTCTCTTCCGACGCCAGTTTGTCTTCATTGAATTAAGCTTAGCGGTTCAGGCAAAATGAAGAGTTAAATAGTCTCTACCTTAACCGAAATCCTAACCGTTATACAATCGTCCCCACGACTCTCCCTCCCCCACTGACTCTCTTACACAAAGCGACACGAACGCCCCGCCACAAACAAAGAACAGCGGAAAGAAGACAAGGCCTTACGACGATCTGTTCTATATAGGCTCGGTGTCGACTCACGCGTTATTAGTCAAACACTTTCTCCACCCCCTGTCTGCAAGCAAGTGTGCTTCTCTCTTTCTTAAACGGCCGCTAGTCATATTTCACTATGGATGCATACGAGCAAGTCCGCATCATCGGCAAAGGCTCATTTGGCGTCGTCACGCAAATTGTACGCAAAAGTGATCGCAAGGTGAGGAGAATGGGGCGAACAGAACAGTCAATTATATGCAGGACTCTGTACCAACGCGTATGTTTTCTGTGCAGATGCTGGTGTGGAAGGAAGTTAATTATGGCGCCATGAGTGAAAAGGAAAAGCAGCTCATCGTCAGCGAGGTGCGCCTGTGTTTGGAGGTATAAATTGATCGCGTTTCTAATGTTTTCGTGTTGCAGGTGAACATACTTCGAGAATTGAGACACCCGCATATTGTTCGCTACTTGGACCGTGTCATCGATAAACAGGCCACTAGAATTTACATTGTCATGGAGTACTGCGAAGGCGGTGACCTTGGCCAATTCATAAAGAGAAAGAAGCGGGAGGGGTACAACATTGCTTGTCAATATTGGAAAACTATACATAGATGTCTGACTAATTTTCTTCATGTCTACGAACTCTTATTGTTATGCTAGGTCCTACATCGAAGAGGGCTTCATTTGGCACATTTTTACGCACATATTTCTCGCACTTAAGGAATGTCACCGCCACCGTGAAGGTAATGTCATCCGTCCTATACTACATCGTGACATCAAGCCTGGCAACATTTTCTTAGACTCCAACGTAAGATACGCACCTACTTAGCTTTTTGACTTTCAGGTTCCTGCTATGTTTTGTGTGCCTAATATACTCGCTCTTACTTATTTGTAGAACAACGCCAAGCTTGGTGACTTTGGTCTCGCCAAGGAGCTAAGCAGCGAATCGCGATTCGCTCAGACGAATGTCGGTACCCCCTACTACATGAGCCCCGAGATGGTAAATGAAATGACTTACGACGACCGCTCTGACATTTGGGCCCTTGGCTGTTTGCTTTACGAGATGGCTACACTCGGCCCACCTTTTGATGCAACAAATCAACTCGCTTTGGCTAAAAAAATCAATGCAGGCAAATTTAATCGAATTCCCTCTCAGTACTCCGAGGGCCTCTTCCAGGTCATTCGATGGATGCTCCATCGACAGCGCTCTCGACGACCAAGAATTGAAGATTTGGAGCGTGTTCCACAATTGCAACAGCGATTACGTGCGTATACTGCGGCTAATGTCCCGCAATCTGGCGGCGACCAAAATTTACAGACTTCTTACAATCAAAAGATGAAGGAGCTGCTAGGAATCGAGGAAGATTTGCGTCGACAGGAGGCTGCATTGATGGCTCGCGAAAAAAAGCTGAAAGGTCAGAAGTCTTTGCTTAATATTTGTCCCTCTGGATCTAAAATTACGTCAAACAGAGCTGGAAGTGGACTATATGCGTCGTGAGGGCGAGCTGAAGAAGCGGGAGCAAATGGTGGAGATGATGACGCGAAAGCTGTCTTACAATGCGGGAAAAGTAGGATCTCCAACAACTTCGGATGACTCGATTTCCAGTGCAGACAATAACGCTGGCCAAGCAGGATCACAGAGTCCGAAAGGACGTGGAAACAATAATGGTGGAAGCCCCTCTGATCGTGGTAGCCGTCCGCCGGCTGCTGGTGATTTCCAGTCGCAGTCTTCAGGTGATCTGGATGCCAAAGTTGCGGCAGAAGAAGTTCAGCAGCCAAGGTCTCTGCGGGGCTATCCTGCTAATTTGGTACTTTTTTGCTCTCATGTTTTGGATTGAGAATAGGTATTAATTGGGTTGACTGAAATCGTCACAGATGAAGGGAATGTGGAGGAAGAACAACTAGCAGTAGCTGGTGAGCACAGGACCAGAGAAAGCCTAAGCACAAGCATATATTAGGAAGCGAAGGGTTGCGGTGCGACAGTAACGTATGATCTGCATGTGTTTGGTGTTCTCGACAATGAAGGGTACAGACTTATCGAACAAGCGGCTCTCGAGTCTTTATACCACTAAACACGCACCTTCAAGCGCCACCAGTATTTGTACAAGATAATCAACGAAAGACAAGAAAAATTAAGGGCGCTGAACTGAGTGTCACGATCGTGAGTGGGCATTAGTAAAGACAGGGTGCAGATAGAGAATTAATTCAGTATGTGAAGGTCTGTCCAGAGCGAAAGCCGATGGAAACTTTTGATTTCGGTGGTCCTCCACTCTGCGAAAGGAAGGAGCCAGTAACTTGATAAATTCTTTTGATATGTAAATGCTCTACTTACCATGTTATGTCAGCTTCGGAGGAAAATCAAAGAATAGATAAGACCTCTGTACCTGCAGAATTGCGCCAAGGAATTGCCTTAAGCCTTAACAATGTAGACCTGAGTATGGATAGTATGCCCGCGTCTCCAATATTCCAGGGGCCACTCTTACGTTTTCAGCTTTAAAGACAGTATCAATATCAAAAGTGCAGATCACATCGGCAACTTAAGATGCTGATACTTTTGCAGCATGCCAATGATGCGGAAGCAAAAAGTTGGAAGATTCCAGGACAAGTGTATCATCTGAAATTGAGCTGCCTCAAAATTCTACTGATTTATAAGCACAGGTTAACCTTAAAGTATCCCGGTCAAATTACCAAATAGCTCCTCAAGGACACATCAATTCAGCAAAAAAAAATTTCGCCATCCTGATGCATGTCAAAAATGACATTCTCACGATCCACGTTCTATCTCGTCCGAAGAATTGATAAAAATCTTCATCTTGCTGACTCACGCGGTAGCTTCCACTTTCGTCTTATTTTTCAAGCTTCAAAATATTTTCTTTCTTTAGTCAGCACAAATCTGAAGCAACGATTCGACCCGCGACCGGCAAATTGGGCACGTACTGGAGATCTTGCGCAAAGCTTCAGCACACTCGGTACAAAGACACATATGACGACAGGGTAAAATGGTAGTATTTCGCGGTTCACTTAAGCATATAATGCACTCAGCGCTTTCGTTGATGGAATCATTCTCAGCCTGACTTGACTCTTGCCGTCTGTCTTCACCACGCTCCATCCTCGGTGCTGCGGTGACAGATCCATCTATGCCATAGATCTCCTGCAATTCATATGTAGATCCGTCCACCTGACAGTTCAAACAATAACCCTTATCAGTAGGTACAATCTGCAAAGAGAGATTTGCATCCATACCAAAACTTTCTGCTTCAGTATCTTGATAGTCCATGCGCCTTCATAATTTTTAAAAAAGGTACAAAATGTCGTCTGTGACTGTGAGCAATCCGCTATTATCAGCACAGCAATCTGTGAGCATGAGTACAGTAACAAATGAAAGACACCTACTGTCCGAGGATACTTCAAGCACAATAATCAACGGAAACTCATTGGAACCCGACTTGTACACCAGCACATCAGGGTCATAGAGCGAGAAATCAAGAGGTGGCAATGGCTGCTCGTGCACTTCGTGGCCGTCCTCTATTTTTTTCTTTGTGGCATTCAGCTTGAACGGCTGGTCTGATCCAATAGAAAATAGCTTCTTTAACAAGGGTACTTTGTCTGAGTAAGTCAATGCAATGTTACAGCAGCCAGTTTTTGTATCAATCGTCTCTGTTGCCACAAAATAGATACTGATCCAACACGGTTTAGTAGCGTCAAATCGAAATTCTAAAGCATACTGCTGCAAGTTCATAAGTGATTGCTCCAGTTTAAGACTGGACTTCTTTAGATTGACGTAACTCTTGACAGTACATGTTTGTTGGAGCCCCGGAACTTCGGAATGCATGCGTCCCTGATTGGATAAAAACGCCAAATCTGGCCGACCCCGACTAAAATATAGCGCCTGCATCTGTGACGGTGTGTAGCTCCTACGTGGTTCTGCAGCTGCACTAGTGGGATCGCCATTGAGCGTGAGTGTTGGGCTGCGTCGCTGCCTATTTACGCTGGCCGTATGCCCCATTCAACTTTGCTTATGATGGATACATACTGTAACCCTAGTCCGATGCTTAATATATCCAAACGAAATCTCGTAGTCAAAATGCTAAGGGTAAAATGTGCTAAATTTTACACTAGTGCTATTGAAGAACGAAAACTATCATAAGAGATCTTTCTCCTGAATTGTTTTGACAGCGCTTGACTGGTTACTTTTCAAATGTAACAATCTTGATGAAAAGACATATTTGGAGCTCCGGTTTGACGTAATGTACTGTTTCATCGATTACGTCTAACCTCTTGAAAACTACACTTATAAAACACTGGCTCCTCACTGATCTTTCATCCTACTACTGAAGCACTAACATGTTTCGACATAACTGACGTCGCAAACCGCACCTTCTTGTTGACTTGTGGCCTCATAACTATGTCGCAAACGTCAATACAGTGAGCTCTATCTTTGATCGCGAAGTGCTACGCTTGTGGATAGCCACAGACGGGTCATTGCGTCCGTAGGTGTGACTTCCACCCGGCAAGCTACTTGCAATCGGGCTGGTCCTCCAGTCGATCCATGGCTCGTGGTATTCAAATCTAGTATGAGGTCATACCGATCATCCATGTCGATGACTGAGAACGTCGACTTGAAGTCAAAGTTTTAGAATTCCGCTCGTAGATCGATTTTGATCTTCTGTTGCATAACGATCGCACCCGTCGTAACACGAACATAAATGTTACCATGATTGTCGCGCAAGCTACATCAAAGAGGAGCGAGTTTTCTACAATATTCTTCTTCTGAGCGCGATAAGTGTACGCTCCAGAGTCAAAAAAAGACTATGAATGGTCTTCCAAACCTCTTCACCGTTACCAAAAGAGCGAGAAGACCTCACTTCCTCTCCTTCTTCGTGGGTAGTCGAAATATTCCTGGGGGCAGCGACTTCCCCTGCACAATACTACCACAAGAGAAAGTCGCGGGGTTTACCCTAGTAGACCACCCCACGCCGAAAAGGCCTGCGCGTTTCCCGACGATGGGGAAAACACACTGAAAGGTGTAAAATCATCGGCGTTGTTGAGGGATGGGCCTCCTCGACCGCTGCGGAATTTGGTCGAACGGCCACCTCGTCGGCTGGCACTTCGCCTTCATTCTCATTTTCGAGCCGAGTAAACTGGTGATACACCAGTGGGTTTGAACACATTCGTCGGGCGGTCCCGTTCAAAGTGGTCCACTCGGCCACAAACATAACAGGTTACCTGTAGGCGATCAATCGCCGACACAGGTCCATGGGTTAAGAATCACCACTTGCATGTCGGTGAGACAACTAGGAAACCCACGCGACAATCGCTGGAGCTTATCCCTATAAAGGGCGACGAAAATTGCATCATCACTTTTCGACGAAATACTTCATTCTTTGGAGGGTTGATCTCGAGTCCCTGCATAAAGGCGGTTATCATCACGTCCTTTGGAATCGAATTTCGGCCAACAACGCTTGAAACTTGCGAAGTTCTTGTACGAAGTCGTAAATTGAGCGTTTTACCTGGTGACGCCTCAAAAG